TCGAACGTTAGCCGCGTTTAAGAGCAAACGTCTCATATCGCGAAATAGAACAACATGCAAATTGCGGATGATCATGTGGCCTTCGCCTTTTCACCGGACCTCTTTTGTGACTGTGGTCGACCAGGTGCCTCGTGAATTCTCGCACACTCGTTAAGTTCGGATCCCGGCGAACTTTGCATTTTCCCATGATGCGGTGTCTGACTGTTGTTTTTCTGACGCCCCGTGGATAGCAACAAGAACACAACTTCGCCCGGATCCTAACTTCGCTTTTTGCCCCGGCGCGCAAACTGTGATGGTTCTTCGAGGCCGCCCACTGAATGTCAGCTGTGTCCGCCCCTGGAACGTAACACATCGCGAAACCGGACAGCAGAGCAAGTTCGGATGCCAGCGGACTACTAATTTTTGTCTAGCCTCCAACGACGTAATGGTTTTCCTCTGGCGCAGTGGATTTCACCCCCGACGCGTAAACCGGGATGGTTCTTCGAGGCCGCCCACCGAATGGCAGCTGTGTCTGCCCCTGGAACGTAACACATCGCGAAACAGGACAGCAAAGCAGGTTCGGATGCTGCGAGACTACTAATTTTTGTCCAGCCTCCAACGACGTTGTGGTTTTCCCCGGCGCAGAACCCGTCTCTCTCTCTATGACTCTCTCGCACCACCCTTGAGTTCGGATCCCGACGAACTTCACGTTTCCACATGCCCTTTGGACTGACTGCTGTCTGCCTTGTGGCCATGCATCGGACCCGCATTCCATCTAACCTCGAACGACTTTTCCAGCCTTGACTCCGAGAAATTTGAGTACAAATGCTGCAAATTTCCTTGTCATTTGTTGGGTATTCAGGAATCCCGATGTTAAACGTGTCATAGAAAATTCTGCACACTTAGGCATACACCATCAGTGCGAGTCAAGAAGGGAGAAAATGTTGCCTCATCAAGGGGAAAAAAGGCAGTTGCACGCACACATCACGCGGAGGTGGACGCCCGTGTGCTTGTGCACTACTCGAAAGCATGTAGAAAGCTTGTTAATATTCAGTTTGGGATGTGACGAGCGGGTGTTGGCGTCACCGAGGGAGTTGTCGCATGCCAACTCCGTTTACGGTTGTCTGCATGTGTTGTGTGTGTCGTTTAATATGTGTGTGTGATGTGTAGGGTGCATAATGTCGTTGAGAGCGTCGACAAGCATGGGCATGCATCCTGAGACGCACATGCGTTTAGTTGAACTGTTTCCTCTTTGTGCGAAATCGGTGCGGCGTTGTGACGGTCATGTTTCGATCCACGGAGCAACCACGGAGGACTTCGAAGAGGACCCGTAGATGACCGTCGTCCCGTACTTGAACTGGCATCTAGACGATTGGTCTTAGGGTAATTGGGACATGATGGAGAGTGGCTGCCCTTGGGCGAGCCATTACAAGTTTGCCAACATGTTAGAGTTTGGTAACCTCATTGCACTGCGTGATGGTGTCCTTGAGCACAAGTTCCTGAACCGTATGCGCAAAACACTCCGCTGCATCAGCCGCCATTTCAGTCGCCTCGTCTGCCACTACATCAGGTCTTCGCCACGAACTTGGGGAAGGTCACGGAAATAAGAGTTGGTGGACTGCGCTAGTCATTGTTCGTTCTTGAAGCAGTACCCACTCCGTTGCCTCAGGATTTCTCCTCAGGCTGTGTCGTACTATTGTGTGTGGTTGACTGTGTCCGGATCTGATTTCGCCAGAGTTTTATGTGTCGCCACTTCGGACAAAAAATAGGAAACTCGTCAATGCAGTTGTGCGTGTATCAGGCAACGAAGTGGTAATTGAGGGGTCCAAGTTCGTGCCTATGCGTGGGGGTCGTGGTGGGGATAGGTGGCCAGATTTGGTAATAGCGGGCCAGGTTGAAGACTTTTCGTTGTGGCGTGAGGTGGAAGAAAAAGTGTCTGATATACGAGAATGTAAAGGGAACTTCTCGGCACGCCCGGGAGTGTTTGTCAGGATGAAATATATGTCCGTCCTTTCGGAGAGCGGTAGAGCCGAGGAACCGCAGATCCACGTATACGGATCATCAATGAATGCTATGTATGGCTTCGGTCCACGAACTCGTCCGCGGGGAACCCCTAATGGCACTAGATCCGGACGGGTTATCAGACCCCGTGTTTCAGGGTGAAGGAGCGGGAGGTGTGAGAGGCATGTGTGTAGCCGAAAATGGTGAATATGAAGTAGTGGAGAGAGGTGTGAGAGGCATCAGTTGCAAGTGGACGCTACACCGCGCACTTTAGGTGCGAACCCCGAGCAATCCACTGACACTCACTTCCGTCTAGCCTCCAACGACGGAGTGGTTTTCCTGCTGCGCGCCCTCGTGAAGTACGGATCCCGGCGGACTTAAGGTTTCCACCTTTCATGCCGCGTCTCTCTGGCCCGCGCGGGTCCGAAAATCGCTTCCGGACTTAACATATTGCGAAACGGGGGAGCGGAACGATTTCGGGTGCTGGCAGACTGCGCATTGTCGTCTTGCCTCCAACGTCACGTTGGTTTTCCTGCTGCGCCGTGGATTTCACCTGGCACGGAAGTGGAGATCCTTTCTCTCTATCTCTATCTCTCTGTTGCATTGTTCGGCTATGTGTCTATTCAACGGTCAACGGGAAAGTTCCACCTCTGTTGTACCCGTTGAAGGCCTCCAGGGCCCTGTTGAATTCCCGTTGAATGGTACAACGGGCCCTCCCCACGGGGAGGGTGGATTGAGCCTCGGACACGACGCTGGACGCACGTGAACCAAAAAAAAATTGTCCCTTTTGAATCCCTTTTGAATCCCCGTTGAATCCCCGTTAAATCCCGTTGAATCCCGTTGAATCACCGTTGAATCCCGTTGGGGAAAAAAAACGGACATCGTCCAAAAATTCCGGAAACAAAATATGTTATGCAGAAAAATAAACTGCAGAACTTTTGCCCCAGGGTCACATCGAAAATCTTCACCCAAAAAATAAATATATATATATATATATATATGTTATTATTATTTTTTTACGTGTGTGTGCGTGCGTGTGCGTGTGTGTGTGTGTGTGCGTGTGTGTGTGTGTGTGTGTGTGTGTGTGTATGTGTGTGTGATCGGGTGGGGATGGGGGGGGCGACCCATCCCCTACCAATCAACCAACCAATCTATCAATCAATCAATCAATCAAAAGAGAAAAAAGAAGTTCAAAAAAAAAGGGGAAAACCCGCTTTTCTCATTATTTTTCCTTTTCCTTTTTTTTTTTTTTTGATTGATTGATTGATTGATTGACTGGTGGGGGATGGGGCGCCCCCCCAACCCCCACCCAATCACACACACACGCACACACACACACACACACACACACACACTCACTTGCACCGACGTTGGGCGGGGTCCCCGCCCGCGCAACTTGGGTGAAAGAAAGTGAGTGTGTGTGTGTGTGTGTGTGTGTGTGTGTGTGTGTGTGTGTGTGTGTGTGTGTGATTGGGTGGGGTTGGGGGGGCGCCCCATTCCCCACCAGTCAATCAATCAATCAATCAATAAAAAAAGAAAAAGAAAAAAAATCTATCTGTTTTGAGTCTGGTTTTGTTTTTTATTTTTTTAAAATATTTTTAATGCTCAACAAATAAACATAAAAATATGGGGATGTAGAGAGCAAAAAACTCTACACCCCCTTATATATATATATATATTTTTCACCTCTGCGGGCCGAGTTGTACCACGTTCAACTCGGTTCAACGGGGAGTTGAAACGAGAGTTGAATGGGAGTTGAATGGGAGTCAAACCGTTCAACTCAAAACCCCCGTTGAATCCGATTTCGGACACATAGTTCGGATCCCGGCTAACTTCGCCTTTCCACTTCCCCTTTGATCTGAATGTGGTCTTCTTTGTGCGTCTTGTGTCCCTTGAGTGCAGTTTCGATTTTTCTCTATGTCTCTCTCTCGAGAAGCCTCCTTAAGTTCAGATCCCGGCGGACTTCGCGTTTTCTTCTGCCCGTTCAGCTGGCACTTGTCTTCCTGATCACTCGTCGATTGCAATAACAACCCTAGTTCGCGCGAATCCGGACTTCTGAGTTTGCCCGGACAGGGTCACAGAACATGTTGGGCAGGCTCCTGCTTTCAACTGGGCTCCATCGGCTGCCAGAGTACACAGAGCGCCACAATGGACAGCAGACGAAGTTCGGATGCCGGCGGGCTTCTCATTTTGAGGTGGCCTCTGATGTTAGTGTGGACTTCCTACATCCTCGTCGAGTTTAACATTCACGGAATTGTGGATCTTGTGTCTCTTTCACCGTCTCTCTCTAAAGCGCCATGCTTTAGTTCAGATCCTGGCGAACTTCTCGTTTGGTATGTGCGTTGATCTATTTGTGGTCTTCCTCGTGCCCCGACGGCCGCATAAGCAGCGCTTGATTCCCGGCGCACTGCGAGTTTTCACTGGCTTCTCTCTCTCTCTCTGCCTCTCGCTCTCGTACCCTTTTGAAGTTCGAATCCCGACGAACTTCACGTTCTCTTCCTTCCGAATTGGGGTGTCGGAGGATCTTTGTGTGCGGATTTCGCTGCGGCAGAGCCTGTGTTGTGGTGTGGCAGCGACTCCTTTCTTGCAACTGTGTTTTGTCAGACGTTGACTGCATGGTGCGTTGTTTGATTTGCATTGTCGTTCGCAGACAGGATGTCTTCGTCGAGGGGGGAGGTGGAGCCAACAGGAACCTCCGCAAGGGAATCAGGAAAAGATTCCACGAGGCGGTCGTCTACTGCCATGAAATCGTGGTCGAACCATGCGAAGTCAAAATGATTCATCGACTGGTGCTGTGGAGACAATTCCAATCCCACTGCGCGGCCATGTGGTCCTGTCATCTTCGTCGATGACAACAAAAGGCGTAGAGTGCTTGGGGCCGTCTTGCGGTAGGAGGACGCAAAGGGGGCCTGCAAAACGTTTATGGCGCCAAGGGCCGTTGCCAATTCGAAAGGGGCGTTGTTGGACCTCGAATTGTGTGAGGGGTTCGAAGCGGGTGTTGTGAACACCCCGTTCTACAGAGAACTCATTGTGGCGGTTTTATTTTGACGCGTGAATTTTTCGACATGTTGGAGGACAAGAACATCGTTCTCGACGTCCCCTGCGACGTCGGCTCCTCCCAAGAACTCTCGTTGTCATTAAGGTTATGCGGTTGCGAGTCAAGCGGGGCAGCGACAAAGGGCGGTGATTTAGTTTCTGGTCCCGCTACTCAGCTGCACCGTGGCGAGAGTCGAGGTCAGTTCGACGACAGCGAGGATGAGGGGCCTACTCCACAGTTGAGGGAAACGCAGCGGTCTGTATTGTCTATTCCTGGGGTCCTGACTGACGTTCCGGTTCGACAGGAGAGTGCGGCAGCTGCAGGAAACGTGGCAGCCTCTTCGAAGGTCGACCTGGAGACGAGTGAGGGCCAGGGTGTGGAGGAGGGAACCGCGGGCAGCCTGGGAACGCAAGGCACTCCACAGAAGAGGAGGGGGGGTCGTACAAACGAGTTCGCCCGTTCTACGAAGAAATTAAAGAGCAAGGCCCCGAGGATTGCGGGGGGGAGAAACGCAAGGGGACCGAGGAAGAGCAGGGCCGGCAGGGTGTCAAATGTCCAGCTTTGAAACATAAACTGGCTGCGTCAGGACCATCCACTCCACAGGCGCCACGGCCTCTCATCGACGTCAACGCCGGGTACTTCCTCGAGTACAAAGACGGAATTCAAACTAAGCGGGAGTTCAAGATTAGCCCTGCGGAGGTCGTCGACCTCGGGGAGTGGGAGGACCTATACAACCAGCGGTCCCTGGATCCCGTGCTCGTGGAAGGGATCAAAGAAGCGATGCGGTTGGTGTTCGAAAACAAAGAGCAGTCTTTCGAGTTACCAACCCTGAAGCTGGCACCGCTAGGGCTTGATACACCAACTCCCGGGACCAAGGCACAACGTCTGAGGCCGGAGGATTGGAGGGATGAGCTGGCGGGACAATACTACTACTACGCGGTGTGTGGGCAACACAACGCGGTTGCAGCGAGGTCGCTACTCGGGAGCAAGGTGGCCAGGAAATACAATTTCAAGTGGTGGCCTGCATTCGGGGAACGACTTCGAATGCTACTTCCTTGTCAGTTCCCAGGACAACAAGAAGGACCTGAAGGCACCCCCGAGACAGCTGCAGCTGTCAATGAAAGACATTCCGTGGGAGTGGAAGCGCGACAGTTGCCCGCGAGCTGTTATGGGGAAGCCCAACTGAAAACAGGATCAGGTCCGGAAGTGGCGTGAATTCTGTAATGTCGCGCTCAGTATGACGCCGCACAACAACTTGTGGATTCTAGCAGATCAGAAGGGCAAGGACGCCATCAAGAAGCAAGGCGCTGCCCTGCGTTACTATTTTCCACTTCGATGGCATGAGAGAACATCTGGAAACTGGCCGTCGCGTTTTTCGAGAAATGGGAGACAGGTAGATTGCTCGGACACGATGGCGCAAAGTGGATCATGCGGAAGAAGAAAGTCAAAAACGTGAAGCCCAGGGTTGCCTACATTGACAACGACACGCTGCGCAGGAAGGAGGTCGTGCATCGGCCCCCGGGCCACTTCTGGATTGGCCCCCGGGCCACTTCTGGATCGGCCCCGGGCCATTTCTGGAAGAATGTGGAAGCAGGCCCTGGGCCACACGCACAGCAAAAGGCACACCTGGCACTTGGGCAGTAACTGTACGGGGCACAAGGCACAGGGCCTACCCGCAGCTTCTCGGCACAGGCCCAGCAGCCCCAGCCCAGCCAAGCTAGACAGCAGCCCAGGCCAGGCTCTTTCCAGCTCGCTGCCTGGCCAGGCAATGGGGCACTTGCCAAGTTCCCAGTTGTGCGGCAGCGCTGCTTGAGCCAGTGCTCGCGTGCTGTGGGCTGCACTAAGGCAAGGTGCTCATGCACGTGCGATCATGTGTGCAGGGTGCTGCTGAGGGCAGTGCCATAGCTCAGCCTCCATAGCCGGCCAAGCTTGGGTGTACAGCAAGGAGTAGTGGTGGTCTTCGTGCACGAGGGAGAAGATTAGGTGAGAGACAAAGGAGAGAGAGAGAGAGAGAGAGAGAGAGAGAGAGAGAGAGAGAGAGAGAGAGAGAGAGAGAGAGATGAGGATGATGACGTGAGGGCACATACCTGGTCGTGGCAATAGTCTACAAGGGGCGACATCATTATGCACTTCGGTGCTGCTGCTGCTGTCAAGTTCGTTGTCAACAGTTGCATTGTCCATTCGTAGGCCAGAAGTAGCTGTGAGATAGTAGTCTGGGTGTTGAGCGCCAAGTAGGGGAAGGGTTCTGGATACATATGTTGGTGATGGCGGGAGTATGCTCTCATTGACAATCTAGATTCAGTGTTTGGTTCTCCATTGGTGGAATATCGGTGCAATTCTGCTTTCTGGACAGTGTGGGACTTCCTGGCTAAGCCTTTCAATGTGATTTTGCAATCTGAAATCTCTCAATCGAATTTCCGCTATTGCTCATTTTCCTCGCAAATATGAAGGGCGTAGTGACACTATTCATTTATCTAGGTTTTCTTTTAACTCCCCCTTCGTCGTGCTTCTCACGTACAAGGCTCCCCTCGTTGATGAAGTTGGGCACRRCCAGCCTGCATCCCCGTGTGCCATAACAACCARCWTGTACCTGTGAGAAAGAGGCAGAGTAAAGGAGGAGAGGATAAACACGGAGAAGAGGGGTCAAGAGAAAACAAAACAAACATCGGTGAAGGGAATGTGTCGTTGACAAAAGAGAGGACATACATTGTAACGAAGCGATAACGCTGCGGGCTGTTTTCAACTCTTCAGTAAGAAAATCACGAGTCCTTCAAGAGTCGGCAGGGTAGGAGTAGAATGAGTTGCTAATCTTGAGCATTCGTTGATATCAGTGACGATCAACCCGATAGGGGTTTCAAACGTGTATAGTTGATTGCTGTTCTATGGGACGCTGGACCCGGTTTCCAGAAGGTGGTACTCCCCACCAATAGACCGGAGCGCCTGCGAGGGTACTGGGGGGGTGATGATCTTACCACCCTCTATTAGGCTCGCCGCATGGACATATATACCCCCAACGATTGATTCAACCAACTGACGCCCTCTATTAGGACAGGAAGGCAACGCTTTCGTTCTTCCTCCAGTTGAACGACAGCTTCGACTGATTTGGTTATCACCTCTCTCCCTCCTCCAGTACCTTATCAATCTCTCTCTCTCTCTCTCTCTCTCTCTCTCTCTCTCTCTCTCTCTCTCTCTCTCCTTCCTTACACCAAACCCCAGTCAACCCTTCTTCCCTCTCCCCCATCCCACTACGTTTATCACGCCCTCACCCTCGATTTCGCGAAATGAACCTAACAGCCGCTTCGAAAGCCATATTAATCCTCATCTTTTTTCGTACGACGCAAGTTCCTCTCTTCGAAATCCACGTCGATCTCCATTCGTACGACGCGATTTCAACTTCCTATCTGCACGAGGCACACGCTTTCAGAAACTTCCTTCTCCTTACACGCTCCCCTGAGTCCCTCCGCGTCCTCTTCTTCCTCCTCCTCCCCACATCTTGCGTGGAATACGAGAGTAGACCCTAAACACACACACACAGCGAATTCTAATAGGCGTCGCAGAGATTCCGAGCGGAGTTGTGGATCGCGAAAGAGACGGCGGCCGCTGGGAGGAGCTTCAGGTTGTTGACCGCCAGTCCGGCATACAGCGCGCCAACTCCCTCTCTCCTAATGATCTCCCTGACGGCGTCCATCATGCCGGAGTAAACCCGTCCTGCGGCGGGTCCCATGGCTGCTTGCAACTGCATGCGCCTCTGAACGGTCTCCAAAGGATAGAGCGCGGTTTGGGCGCACAGCGCAGCCGCCGTGGCTATCAATACGATCGCCACTGGCCCAGGCTCTGCATCCGCACGGCCTTGTCTCTTCTTGTACCAGCGCTCCACTGTGGAAAAGGCATACCCGCTRAGGATAAAGTAAGGAATGGTGCGAAGGATCTGCGGAGCTATGCCGTCGTAGAACCCCCTTACGCCTCGGCGTCTCATGATCGCTCTCCCGATGTCGCCAGSCCCTCTTYCGTCTGCCCCGGCCACTACTCCAACACCTCTGCCACCTGYCCCCGKTRTCCCGGCRCCGCCCACACCTCGACCTCCATTCCCACCCACTCCCCCAACGGTATCCCGAACTGCCTCCGTCACTGCCCCCGCCGCCGCCCCCAGCCCGCGGATCGGCGCTTGCACTGCAACTCTTAGTGTGTCGATAGGATACGACGTAAGAATTCCGGCCGTTGATGCCAGCGTCGCGATCGCGTTTCGCTGCCAATCAGGCATCATCCATCCCTGCTGTCTCTGCCCCTCCGCAGCATCCGCACCCCCTCGTTTCTTCGCCGGACCTGCTGTGCCTTGCCTASCTGGGTCAAACCGATTGGTCAACGCCCTGTAGACTAGCGCCTCCACCAACTTGGCCGGATACAGCCGAAGAACGTTGAGGAGATTACCTCTCAGAAGCCCTCTGTCACCCTCGGCCGTCCGGATCCGGTTCAATAACACGCGAGGGTCCTGCCTCGCCAGACTGGGATCAACCATCTGCATGATCCTCATCCTTTCTAGGGGACCGACGACGGTTCGAGCGACTGCGCCGGAGATAGAGGCGGCGACCACGTCTCTCATGGTTTGCAGCTCAGGGAAGCGAAGGTTGGGCATCACG